ATGTATGAGAGAGGATTATTTTAGCCTCATGGTTTTTCCACAGACATCCAATATAAAAAAAAATACCCTCCACCTGGTACCCATTTTAACCCCTTTTTGCCTTATTTTTTTTCTTCTCTAAAATACTCACTGGTGAGTGTCCTATGAGCTGTTCCACGTTCTCAGTCACAACCATGATCTTTCCTGAGCCCAGAACCACCAACAAGAACACGTCCTGAGGGGAGAGAAAAAGATGGGAGAGACACACAATCATTTTTAAGACTCTCAATAGTATTGAGAGACAGAGAGACAGAGGGGATAAAATAAGATATGGGGTTGTTTCTTTTATCACAAGCACTTACTTAGAAGCAGCAGCAGCTGCTGCTGCAGCACAGTACTGAGTTCTGGTAATAATTTTTCACACTCCCTCCCATTTCTGAAGAATTAGTTTCATCCTATATCATGTCATCAAAAGAAAATGACTCAGCTCCAATAAAAAATTATTACAGTAAATAAAAAATTAGACAAGAAAATAATAATTCCATCAAAGAGACAAAAAAAAACTTAAAAAACATGAAATATTAACACCTTTTCATTAAGGTTATCAATTAATTCCTTTTGTGGGATTTGAATTTGTTTTAAAATTGAAAACATTATTCTTGAGAACCAGAAAGGTGGTGCACTTCAAATCCAAATATTTTAAACCATTCAGCTTTATTCTAAAAATGATAATAAAAACATTTTGAAAAATGCTGAATGTTTGAAATATTGCTCACTTGAATGTCCCAATGAAGTAATGTAATTTTCAGTCAATTTATGTAATGCAGAAATTGACAAAAAAGTATCCTTCACTGAAGAAAATATTCTCTGCATGACTATTATTCAAATGAGACAAAGGAATGGGCCACTTTTCTCAAAAAGCCAGGACATCTAATTTTCTGTCCAAAACAAGCTAAGAAAACTACTCTACTTACAATTTATTGCTATGGATCCTCTCTTGGTAAACTTTGATTTCTTATCCCTTATACAACTGAATAATTTTCTCAAATCATTTTTAACAATTAATTTGCAATTATTTGTACTTCACATCCAGGGAGGTCTGGATAATACATTTTATCTGACATAAAATGACCCATGAATAATCAACTATTTCAGTTATTACACCAATAGGAACAGAATGATGGACAAGAGCAATGATCAACTGTTTCCACAAAACAAAATATTGTTTCTACCATAATCTGCAAATTATCACATACCACAGACTCTTGTGATACAGAAAAAATAATTCATTTCCAAGGAGAAAAAAAAAACCCCCAGACAACAACAAAAGTCTCTTAATATCTCTCTCAAAAGCAAACTGGACATCTTGAGGCTGACAGGAAAAAAAAATCAAGGGCTGTACAAATGATCTCCCATCAAGCTCAGACACTCCCAAACAACCTCCTCATTTCCTCCACAAAAAATATACACAATCAACCTTAACTTGCACAGTTTCCTGGAAAAAAATGCTAAAAAATATATATATAAATCACTTTCACAACAGTAAAAAAAAAAAAAGAAACCCAGGGGTGGATGAAAGGGGTCAGATGAGAGCAAAAGGAAGAAGGGGAGGGGGAAAAAGTTTATGATGATGATTTGTGTGAGGGAAACGAGGTCCACCCAAGAGAACCCCCCCATCAAGAGAACCCCAGGACACAGGGAGTCTGTGTTAAGAGCAGTTGTAAAAAATCTGCGACCATTTCCCTTAAGCTGTTGTTGTCTGGACCAGAAGATGGCAGGGGAACAATTCTTACCTCCATGCAATGCTTCAGGCAAATATCCCAACGTATCCGAGGTCCACTTTTTTTGTACTTGGTCAGTCCTGCACACAAAAAAATAAGAACAGCAAAGTAATCAAATTTCAGCCTTCCAATTCAGTAATAGAAAAAAAATGAACTTTACCGAGAATCGAACTCATGACCTCCTGGTTGGGATGAAAAATACTGTACATCATAACAAAGAATATCCTCAACATACTCATGATCTGAAATCTTCAGAAGATTACATAAATAAAAAAATATACAGAACCTGGAAATTGTTTTCTTTGATTATCACTTCTCCAGAGGCACCTATGAAACTTTTTTTGAAGAAATTATGGAGTCTTGCTCAGAAAATCTTCAGCTGAATTTCAAAAAAGTCCCAAGTCATTCCAAGGGTTATCCTAAAATCCAAAGGATGATGAAAAGTTGAATTTCATAGATTACCAAAATTCCACAGCTCATCTTCATCAACAAATTCAAAAAAAAAATTGGAAGCCATCAGGATTCGAACCCCTGACCTTCTGCATGCGACACAAACTCAAAACACTGGCCAAGAAGAAATTCTAAATAATCAACTGAAGCTGTTCTGCTTGGAAAATTGAAACTTTGAAATATCAAATTCAGGCTGCAATATGCCAGGTCTTCTTCAGCTTCACAAAACAATTTATGAAAGGATGTTCATGTTATGTTTTCAGGCACACTTGGTTCTACAGGTGGACTCTCTGTAATGTTCTTGTCTACAACAATGTTTTCTATATATAAAAAATTTGTTTCTGGTCCCCATACACATCCTTCTCCTTGTTATAATGTTTCTTTACAATGAAATTATTTCTATAATGAATATTTTTGTTTTCACAGAAAATGTATTGGCCTTTAAACATGAGCTAAAAATTTGGGAAAGTGGTGATTCAGAAACATTTTCATCCAGAAGATGATCTTTCCACACCAACTGAACAGGTTTATCTTACACTCTTTCCAGTCTTCCAGACAGATTTCCCCAAAACGAAAACAAAAAAGTCTCAATGGAAAAATTCCTGTGAACCAGGAAGAAACAAGCTTTCCTCTGAATCCCTCCACCCACACAATCAAGTCTGGAACTCAGCCAGTTGGCCTTCCATCACATACTCCTTCCTTCTTTTTATCTTTCATATACAAAACTAAAAAGCTCAGGTGTCAGCATTGCATCAAAAACAGTGGATTTGAAAGTCCCAGTAAAAAAAAAAAAAAAAAATAGTGGATGGAAACATGTGTTGGAAGAAAGTTCTTTTTGACACTGACCTACAAAGCAAAGCTGTTTTTTATTCTTACAACAAGAAACCCACATTTAAAATAAGCAGGGATCATGTGCTACATTTTGAAAATGAATATAAAAAATTATCCAAAGAGATTAGGATTGAAGCAAACAAAAACAGTACCTGGAAATCATGACTTACAATTTTTTTCTCACTATTAAATGACAAAATCAGAATCACACAGCAACACTGACTCATTTTGGATACTCAATGAAGACAATTTTCAAGAATTGTGACAGTTTTCTTCCAGTATATGACACAAGAAATGCTTCACCATTTAAAAATGGTCAGTAAAGTACTTTGAAATAAGGAAGTTTCTGAGTGAGTCACTAAGGAGAGAAAAAAATTGAATGGCAAACCTTTGTTAATTTGTGAAAAATATTTCATTAAAGGGCACCCTTGACTAAAGCACTTTCTTGATGCATAAAAAATAAAATAATTATAGTAGATTAAAAAATTAATCTGAAAAACCACGTTTTCAAAAAGCAAAAAATAA